AACCTTGATGGTACCTGTAGTTCTTTATAAAATGATGCCCAGGCCCTATTGCTGGAGAACCTAATTTGACTGATTTTGGGGGAGGACCCCTGGGCTGGTTGTTTTAAAAGTTTTTCATGTGATTCTAATGGACAGTGGCTGAGAACCACTGACCTAAAGATGACCTGGTGTCTGAAATGCAATATTCTCAGGTTGGATCCTCAGTGTGGAAAGTCACATAGGAAAGAGATTGTGGCTCAGTTTGTCTGTGTATGAAACTGACCTATCACCTATAAGCCATCAATACCCCAATATTTGGGTACTCAAAGTGTAGTCCCTGGCACCACTATCACCTGTGAGCTTGTTGGAAATGCAGAATCCCAGTCCCCATCCCATACCTGTGTTAGAACCTGCATTTCACAACATCCTAGGTTCACATGTTCAATTCTGATTACATGCTTGACATGTAACAGACATTTAAGGAATGCCCCTTTAATAAACAGAATTCTATTTAGAAGGACACCATTAAGAAAAAGGCTGCATCTAAAGCAAGAGACAGTCTGAGGGTAAAAACTGAAGACTGTTTTTGAGCTGTAGGATTGGTTTCAGGGGACCACTGAAACCCCAGACTCTCAGGCACTCTCATGGCTCACGAAGGCAGTGCTTCTGGGTTCCTGGAGATCATGATGGTGAATCTTGCTGGGGAGGACAAAAGACCTTTGACTCTCTTCCATACCTCATTTCCCACTCCACAGGGCTGCACCCTAACTTGGCAGGCAGTCAGTCCTAAGACCTCTGCTAAATGGAATCTACCACATCAGAGGCTGCCCCCTCTGTATGTTGTCAGCTCCTGTTATGGCTTATGTTTATATGTCCCCCCAAAGCCTGAATGAGGTGGTGGTTTTTTTTTTTTTTTGGTACCAGGGATCGAACTCGGGTCCTTGCGCTTATGCAGCAGGCGGCGAAACCACTGAGCTAAATCCTCGGCCCTAGGTGGTGTTATTTTTGAGGTGGCTGAATCTAGAGTGTATGATGCTATGATTAAGGGCATGTGATTACTAAACGACTACACGTGAGTGATTGGTTTGGTACCACCCTGATCCTGGTAGTCTGAATAAGATAAAAGGGGCAGGGCCAGGGATTTAGCTCCGTGGTTCCACCGCCTGCCTCTCACAAGCACAAGGGCTGGAGTTCGATCCCAGTACCAAAAAAAAAAAACCAAGATAAAAGGGGCAGAAAGATGCTGTTAATCTCTCTTGTTGCTTTTGCTGCCTTCTGGCCACCATGAACTGTTTCTACTCTGGAAGGCCAGTCTGACAAAACACCCTGCCTTGGAGTCAGCTGATTATGGACTGAAACCTCTATGAACTGTAAGCCAACTAAACCTTTCTCCTTTAACTTTGGGTGTCAGATATTTTGTCTCAGCAATGAGAGAAAAGTAACTAACACAGCTCCCATTGCAGAAGCCCAGGCAGCAAGAGCAGTTGGCCAGGGAGGGCTATGTTCAAAGACAGCTGCTGGGAGCAGTGCTCATGGGGCACTTCACACCTTGGCCCCTTTGTAGCCAGCATCACTAATCCGGGTCTCAGAACTTGTGTCCATATGGAGGTGGCAACCAAAACCGGCCACATGAGGGGCATCCCAGAGGCTGCTGAACTGAACCAGGGTCTGGGTGGGGATCTGGAGCCCAGTAGGGTTGAATGGATGGAACTGAGCACAAACCTCTGAGAGAAAGAGGAGAGAAGTTCACTGTGGCCTGGGCCTAGGACTGTATGCCAGGAGAGGGCTGCGTATGAGGTTGTCAGAACATGAGAACAGGGGAAAGAAGAATTTCTGCGGGTGCTAAGAGGGAAGCAGTTGATGTGCTGTGCCTGCTGCTCTACTTCTGGACCTGTCAGGTTTGGGCAGTGAGTTGCCATGCCTGAGGGTGCCCAGAAAGCCCTGCTGCAAACTGCCGCCTCTGTGGCTGCAGAGAGGGGTGGCAGAGGGGAGGAGGCCTGGGCATAGAGTCTGGCTTTCTCTGGGCCATGTAATCAGGGGCTCAGGGCAGCTTTTTTCCGCAGAGCCAAAGGCTTCCTATGGCAGCTAAAAGGGCCTTGACTAGTGGCCCAGAGGCTCAGTGCCCAGATGAAGCCTCTCTTTGCTCACATGAAAGGGGGCAAGGGGTGGCCTAAAAGGTGAGCCACAGATGTTCCCGCTGGGATACAGCCTAATTCTACCACTGTGGGAAGGGGGACAAGCCTTGCCACTCACAACATGGGCCTCCAGGGGTTCCCTTCTTGCCCAGGACTATAGATGTTCCCAGGCCCATGGCCGGGGGAGGAGAAAGAGAAGATTCTAATGCCTTCCCCTCCCAGCACCCATTTCTCCAGGACCACAGGGGCCCCTCAGGAACCACGCAGACCCCAGGGTAGAGAGATTCACAAGCCAGAGGTGATCCCTGCATCCCAGAGCCTCGAGGGGGTAGGTAATGACTGCAGGCACCTGATTATCACTGTGTGTTCCAGTGGTCACTGAGTGAAGTCCCACTCCTTCCTCACTGAAGGACAAAGCTGCATCTGTGGACTGTCCCTCATCCCCTGAATCCTCAGCCTCAAGCTGGTGCCTGAGCATCTGTGGCTGCAAGGCAGCAGGGGCTGGGATAGGGGCCGGGCGCTGCAGGAGCCAGAGTGGGCTTGCAGGAGTGCTGAGCACCATCTGGAGCATGGGTGTGGATTGCCTGGCAAAGGGCTGGGTATTTAGGGTGGGGCCCCTACATGGGGCAGGGGTAGAGTCTGTCCACACAGGTGTAGCTGGAGGCTTGGCCTGGCTTTTGGATGGTGGTGGGAGCAGGGGCAGAATGTGGGAGAGCCAGTTCTCTGGGATGGACACAAGATAGCATCAGGAGGTGGGCTTCTGGGGCAGCTACAAACTCCGTAGCACTCGTGACAGAACTACTGCTGAACCACATATGGGGTAAGATGGTTTATGAGGATGAGAGGAGCTAGGACTGCTTCAGCTAGTGGCAAGGCAGAGTGAAAGGGAGAGGCTCACTTGTGCTCCTTCCCAAGGTCCCATTTCATCCCCAGCAGTCAGGGGCTGGGCTCCAACTGCTGGTGCCTGACCCTAGTCTCACACCTGGCCCCAGCTTTCCATTCAGTGCTACCTGCCCCAATGTTTGCCTAGCTGTGTCTCAGCACAAGGAGTCTGTTAGAAGCTGTTGGCTGGGGGATGTGGACAGGACCCCACTGAGTCAAACACAGCTCAACAAGTTCCTACCTTGAGGGGCCCTGGGAGCCTGTCCTGAGCCAGTGAACGGTGTGGCTGATCAGAAAGGAGGTGAAAGGGTCATTGGGCCCCTTTTGTGGCCAAGCATTTCCCAGGAATGCTGCTTGGCTGGAAACTTGTGAGCAAGGCTGCTCTTACCATGGATGGCTAGAACACATGCCTGATTTGGGGTGGCCCCTATAGCCAGCTATCTTTCCTGGGTGCCTCATACCCTGTGTGTCTGTCTGCCACAGGGACTGGCTGGGCTACTTGGGAGTTGGCAGCCATAGTCTAGAACTCTTGCACCATCCTGGCCCTTCAGTGAAAAAAAAAAAAAATCCCAAAGCCAAGTCTAAGGCCAATTCCTGCCCCTGACTCCACCATGGCTGGTGGAACATGGCAGACAGGCCCCTCCCCGCCTGTCACCCTCTGTGCTCTCCCAGGACATTCCGGCCCACGAGGAACATGCCCGATGTGCAAATCCCTCAGGTAATGCGGGAATTCATCACCAGGGGAGTGTGGGTGATCCAGGAATGGGAACCTGATCAGGGCCTGGATCTAGAGAGATGCAGCCTGGGCTGGCCAGGGAGGGCTCAGGTTGCACTGAGCGAGACACACATGGGAGAGGAGAGAACAGGCAGGCAAGGGGTGGTGCAGCCACAGGTGGATGGCCCACAGCAACCTCCTCCTCCTCCCACGTTTAGGGAAGAGACAGCAAACTATGAGCGGGGTGGCTGAAATGAGGGTGACAACGGACCCTTGTTTACACCTGTCGTCTAGGTGTAATTATGAATGGAGTCCCTTTTGCTAGCAGAAGTGTGGCACTTTGAACAATCCTAGTTACCACAGACCTGCAAGTGGTTCTTTTAGTTCTGTTATCCTACTTTCACAGCTTCCAAGTGACCCCTTTCCCCGATCTGGGCCAGCAGTTCCATGTATATCTTAACTAGTCTCAAGCACAAAGTAGCATGAAAGATGGCTTTCTCCCAGCTCAGAGTCTCAATGGATGGCTCTCAGGCCTGGTGTGGATACATGGCCATGTCCCCTGATATTTCTCCCTGATGCCACCAGGTCTGGGGCCACTAGTTCATGTACAGCTGCTCACAACAAGAGAACAGGTACTTGTGAGAAGAGAAGGTACTGGGCTCAGCCTAAGCGTACACTCACATACTTTCTGTGCGTGCACATGAAATCCTGGGTGGACGCTGGTTCCACGGAGACAGGAATTAGTAGGACTGGGGCTCAACTCAGTGGGTTAAAGGGTAATCAGTGAAAAGTACCAAAGTATAATTTTTGACTGCTATGTTTTCCCTCTGCCCGCACCTCCAGTGTCGAAGCAGACAGACTATCCTATAAAGCTATGCTCAAACCCATCTCAGTCCCAGCTATACCAACTGCACAGATACCAACCTCTGAGGGGCTGGCCCTGGAGGGGAGGAGGAGGAAGAGAAAGGTACTTGAACAACAAGCTCACGTCTTTTCAGACGTGCAAAGGTCAAAGCACAGATACAACAGCCACCCCTCTTATCATGAAAATAGAAAGAGGGAAAGGCTGGTTGAACAAAAAGCACCTATAAAATTATATTGGTCCTTTGTAACCATGGAGTATTCATACAAACACACAAATCTGGCCACTTACCCCTCTCCCCTTGATTGCCCTCTTATTTTCTATAATTAATTGGGCAAGGGAGGAAGAACCTCGGGACAAGACATCGGTGGTCAGACCTCGGAGCAGGGGCAGAGGGCATGGGCAGCAGCTGCCAGTGCCCGGTTACCTGGAGCATGTTGAGCAGCAGGCTCCGGAACTTGGTCCCCTCCACCATGAAGAGTGCCATTTTGTCACAGAGCTTGGCAGCAGTGAAGGCAAAGCTACGGTCTGACACGGCCTTCTGGTAGATGGTCCGCACGATCTCGCCCAGCATCTCTTCGGAGTTGGTAGAGTTCTGGGCCTCCTCCATGAAGGTGGTGAGCTTCGCATCCACATCGCTGCTGTTGTTTCGCATGCTGTTCAAGATCTCTATCAACTTGTCCATCTTGTTCTGCTGAGGGTTGGTTGTCTCCACCATCACTTCATCCTGGGGGTGTCGGGGACAAACCAAGTGTGCTTGAGTACAGCTGGGGTGTTTGTATGTATGCGTGGCCTGGGGGGAAGGAGGGCTGCCACCCCCAGAAAGGAGGACATGAAATCTGCTTCCTTTGGGAATGCTCACCCCCACCAAAGACACTCATGCCCCAAAGGCTCTTGGCTGACTTTTTTCTTGGCCCCTGTGATGTCCTGGGTTGACATTTCTTGTGAGTTCTAGCTCCTCCACAGGATTCTCATTGACTTCTTAAATTTGTCTACCTGTCCATTAGATGTCTTAACCTAGCACTGATTTAATAGGGCTTATAAAAGACAAAATAAGGTAACAAATAAGAAATTGGCCAAAGGGAAGATGAAGATAGGAAGACCAGGGCAAGAAGATGAGTAGAATCCCAAATGCCTTCTATGTTGGTTAGAGGTACCCTGAGGTGGCCACTGTGTGTCCTTCACATCATCTGTTCTCTGGGCATAAGGTTCCGTATTGACACAGCCCTGGCTTCACATCCTGTGGAGATTATGCTGTCCCTTTACATACAACTACTACAATCCAAGGAATCTTCCAATGTGCCACTTGAGTGGCTGAGGCTTCTGGGAGGGAAATTTCAGACAATAACCCTACACCCCTGTGAAGTTTCACAGTAACTGGGACCAGACCAAGGGTTGGAAAGGAAGAAAATGGCATTTGGCTGTCTCAGAAATATATTCAAACACAACAAACTGTGGCCAGGAATATGACCAACTTCACTGCCCGGAGGTGAGATCTGGTTGAAGGGCAGGATCAAGGTCACATGATGAGGTCCCTCTTGCACTTTCCCTGGGTTCTCAACACCAGACTTCTGGGCTGAGAGGTATAGAATGAGGCTCTGTATCCTGCTCTCTGCCTCTAGCCAGGTGTACTGGTCCCTCTGTGAGGATTTACTAGGGGCTAACATGGTGATGTCAGAGGAGATCTGGAGCTTTCCTTGCGTTCTACCATGTGGGGTCAAGTTCCAAGGGCAGCTGGTTTCCACTTGAGAAGGGAATTGTATGTGAGGGTAGATTCCCCTCGAGCCTCTTCAATCCATCTGATTGCTCTGACTCCCTGACTAGATCAAGAAGATACAACTCTCCACTCTCATGGGCCCCTAACGCTTATCCATGTCTGCAAGGAGGAGAGAATCTCATCTCTTCTTGACGAGATTCTTGTTGAGGAGGGAACTAGAGGCTCATCTGTCCCAGGGTTTGCCCACTTTTGGAGGACAGCCAGTACAACAAGGAATGGACCAGTGTGAGCCTAAGCCCGTGTCCTCTTGGTCTGGGAGGCTTGACCTGAGACAAGTCCTCCAAACTGATCGAAGGGCACTACAGATTTCCCTTATCTGTCTCATCCTTCCACAACCCTATATCCCATCTACTTAGGTCCCCTGGCAAGAACAGTGGCCTGTGGATAGAATAATAACTATCTACAAGGGTCTCTACACATGCCACCTCATTTAATCTTCACATCTTCTCTGCAAGGTAGGTAGTAGTGCACCCATTTTACAGATGAGTACACTGGAGCTCAGAGAGGTTAGGTAATCACTCATCCAGCCAAAGGCAGAGTGAGGGCTGAGCCTGGCCTGCTGGGCACTAAAGCCCGTGCATTTCCACTGTGCTGCCCTGCGTTACGTCTGACAGAACTCTAGAGAACTCAGTCAGCAGCCCCCCTCCCAGCCAGCATCTAGCAGTGAGTCTGGGAAGCTCACTGGTCTGAGGCACAATACATAGCCATCAGCTAGGAGGCTCTGCCAGGTGTCCATTTGTGAAATGGCAGGATGTGAGGGAGGCTTTCCTCTTGACCTCCCAGCTCTGTCCCTACAGGGAGGAGCAGGGTGGGACTCTTGGGGTGTGGGGGACACAGGTGTGGCATTTGGCTTTGAGAACTGACCCAGGAAGAGGGCACCCTTCCTTAGCCTGACTGAGGGTGGTCCTGGGCCTGCCCTCTGGGCAAGAGCTTGAGAGAAGGCAGCTGAGGGAGGTTGGAGGAGAAGCCCAGAACCCCAGGCTCTGAGGACGCCCCAGAGGGAGGACTCCTTGGCTCTGCCCGCTGTGTAGGAATGGCTGCAGGCAGGTCAGCCTTCCTGGGAGTGGTTCCTGTCCAGGTGAACTTGCCTCCGCCCTTGAGGGCACTGGAGCTGAGGGGATGGTGCTGGGGAATGCTCAGTGAGCCTGGTGCTGCCAGCGACAGATCCCATTCCTTTTCTGGTGACTTGGCTCCAGAGACCAGAGTGAGGCAGGACAGGCTCTGGGCAGCAGATGGAAGTGCCTGGCTCTCAGGGTCACACCAGTGCAGCTGGCATCTGGCAGCTGGGTGATGCTGCTGGAGCCCTCTCTCATTGGTACCTTTGAGCTCTCACTGGCTGCCAGGAGATGAAGTGGGGAATAGGAAGGCTGAGGCCACCTGTTTCCACTTTGCCCAGCTCCCCATGGTTCCTATTCCAGCAGTGACCACGTCTGCATGGGACTTGTGCTTGGGAGAACCAGTTCTTCACATTTCCCCAAATACTACTCAGCATGTAGAGGGCAGGATTTGACCCCCAGAAAATGCTCCCAGCACCCTCCATCATCATCCCAGGAATGTGCCTCTTCCTCCTAACTTTCTGCCTCTCAGGCTGATGGCTGGTACCAAGCACCCATCCTGGACCATTTAGAGGACCAGAAGTGAAAGGCTGGCATGTGCTGGAAGGGCTCATGCCACCGGCTTGTCCTCTGGAGACCCAGTGGCACCACAGCAATGGTGGCTTGGCACAGTGGGTCCACACAGCCATGGAAGCCCCTGCTTACCTCCACAGCTCCCCAGACCTCCCAACCCACAAGGCTCCACCCCAAGCCCACCGACCAAAGTGCCTACCTCTCGGCTGTCCTCCCGGTTGGAAGAGAACAACAAAAATTCAATTACCGGTACCTTTTCTTTTAGCCTTCGGCGAAGCCTGTCTTTGGAGGACTGGAGCAGGGTAATTCTGGGCCGCTCCCCGATGCGCTCGGGAATAATACTGTCTTTACGCTTTGTCTCAGCCTCTGGTCCCCCTGGCACTGGCGTGGGTAGCCTCTCGGATGCTGGTGGGACTGGGGCATCAGGGCTGCGAGGGGGTTCAAGGCCACTGTGCCCAGTGTCCCCTAGGGTGTCAAGTTTGGGGCTCTCGCTGGTCATGGTCTCTTTGGCATTGCGGTGGGCACCTGCCTCCCCTTTGTCGCCTGGTGGGTGCTTCATATTGCTGTGGTGCCAGCGCCGGTTCTGGCTGTAGCCGTGGTGGGTAGGCCTCCCTGAGGCATGAGGCACTGGGCCCCCTTGGTAGGACTTCTGATGGTCCCTGTTGTGTTTGGCACTGCCTGGCTGGTGGTCACTGTGCTGCTGGGGCTTGTTTCCTCCTGGAGGTCTCTGCTGCCGTCTGCAAATGGAAGGAGAAAGACAGAGAAGAGGTCACTGAGAGGCCAGCCAGGGTCCCTGTACCTGAACATTGAGAGCAAGGAGTGAATGTTGTGCCCGTTTATTCATTCTTTCAACGAACACTTGAGAACCTCCTATGTACTGGGCTTTGTTGACAAGAAAGAGCCAGACAGATCCTTCACTTAAAATCACTTATTAGAAGACGCATGAATATAGGTATGTGGAACAACAGAAAGTTCCAACAGAAAATGCAGAGAACTCTCCTGCCTCTGCCCCAGCCGTCAGTTATAGCTCCTGGGAGCAGGGTTACCTGAAAATATTTTGGAGATAAGGGCCTTTAAAGAGGTGATCAAGCTAAACTAATGTTGTCAGCGTGAGCCCTAATCCAACTGACTAGTGTCCTTATAATGAGAGGAAATTCGAACACAGAGAGGCACCAAAGATGCTGGGCATGGAGACAAAGGCTCATGTGAGGATCTGCAAGCCAAGGAGAGAGGCCTTGGAAGAAACCAGCCCTGCTGACACCTTGGTCTTGGACTTCAGCATCCAGAATTGTGAGAAATGAACTTTTGCTGTTTTACCCACCTAGTCGGTGGCACTTTGTTATGGCAGCCCTAGCAAACAAACACAGAAGTGATCTTTAACATGGTGGTTTTAGGCAGAAACAAGGCCCGAAGTTACTGGACAATACTTTCTAAGCAGAGAACAGCACACGGAACATATGGAAACCGGGGGCCAGACTGCAAACATCTGGATGTGTGGATGGAAGGCAGGTGAAGGAGGAGTACAGGGGCATCCTCGTGACTTCCAGACCTGTGCGTGAGGCTGCGTCCTACCACACACAACACTCAGGGTCAATTTCTGTGTCACCCTCAGGGTGTTTCTGTGTCATCAGTTCACTTGCAGTGCAGCAGGAGGGCAAGGTAGCCATGTGCCCTTCAAAAGTTGTAAAGTGGTAGGAAACTGGCAGAAAGATGTTACTTTCCCAAGAATGAGTCCACACGTCTTTCATGACCTATCTCAGTACCGCAGACTTTCATTGGATTTTATAAACAAACTCCACTCACTTTCTAGTGATTGTTTACCACTCAAGTTCAATGTCTGCTTGATAAATTTTTATCTGTGAAAATTTGGGGAAATCTTGGGTTGGGGTAAAAATGCATTATTTCTTTCCCACTAAAATTAGTGAAAAATTCTTTGTGTCATTGAAACTTTGTGACATGGTTTCAGGGGAATTAAAATGGTTAAGTGAGGGACAGATGTGTAGTTATCTTTTAGTTTCCACAAAAATGGTAACATAACTCACTGTATATTAGAAGTAGAAATTAATATCGGCTTTCTTGAGGGAAATCGGACAATTTTTTTCAAAAGCCTCTAAAACATGCCACCGTGAATTTTGCAATTCTATCTGTGGTAATGAATCCAAAGGAAATGATCAAAGATGCATGTAGGGATTTACGCACAATGATGTTTAGCACAGCAAAAACTGAACATGGAGTAATTAAGGATGTAGCAACAAAGTTCACTCTTCTTGATGGAAGCGTGGTGTCATTTGAGGCAAGTATTTACATGCGTAGAAAAATCTGGGACGATACAGATTTAGCCACTAAAATGCTAACAGTGGCTATCTCTGGGAGATGAGATGTGGATTTTTTCTTTTACGCTTTGTTTCTTCTAGATGACCTTGAGTTTTTAATTAAACTTTTCACTGAGAGGCAATTATAGATTCACATGCATTTTAAGAAATTATACAGAGAGATCCTTGTGCCCTTCACCCAGCTTCTGCTCCTTGTAAAATCTTGCAAAACCACAGTACAATATCACATCAGGGTACCTACACCGACAGTCAGGATACAGGACATTGCCAGCACAAGGCCCCTCCTCTTGGCCTTTTATAGTCACACCCGCTTCCATCTCACCCCAAGCCACCCCCAGCTCCTGGCAACCACTCACCTATTCTCCGTTTCTATGATGCTGCCATTTCAAGAATGTTGTATAAATGGAAGCCTACATTTTGGGGACTGGCTTTTTTCAGTCTATACGATTTCCTGGAGATCCATCCTGGCTGCTGTGGGTATCAAGGCTTTGTTCTTTTGGTTGCTGAGTGGTGCTCCATGTATGGATGTACCCCAGTTGTTTAACCATTCATGTGTGCAAGGGCATCTGGGTTGTTTCTGATTTGGGGCCATTAAGCATCAAGTGGCTCTGGTTTTTGTATGAATGTGGCTTTCATTTCCCTGGGACAAATGCCCAGGCTTGCCATTGCTTGATCCTAAGATACCTGCATATCTTTTTGTTTTTCTTAACTCTCAAACAGTTTTCTAGAGACACTGTACAATTTGGCCATTTCACCCACAATGCAGGAAGGATTTCAGCCATTAGTAAATGATTGTTGTTTTAGCCCCACGCCTTCCTTCTATGTTTGGGATTCCAGTGGCATGGATGTTGGACGTTTTGTCACAGTGCCCAGGCCCCTGAAGCTTAATTCCTTCTCCTTTAGTCTTCTTTTTCTCTGGTGCTTGCATTAGGTAATTTCTACTGTGCTTTCTCCCATTCTCTGGTTCTTTCCTTTGGCCCTCTATCTCAGGGTTGAGCTCATTCATTGGGTTTTTAATTTAACTTGTAAGTTTCCATTTTGTTCTTCTTTGTTCCTTCTATTACTTTGCCAAGACCTATTCTTTTCATGTTTCAAATATATTCTAGTTGTTCTTTTAAATTTTTTTTTATAATGGCTGCTTTAAAATTTTTGTCAGATAATTCTAAAACACCTGTATTCTTGGAATTGGCATCTGTTGGTTGTCTTTCTTTCAATTTGGGATCTTTCTAGTTTTTGGTATAACAAGTGCTATTCAGTTGAGACTTGGACACTGGATATTATGCTGAGACCCTGGACTTAATTCTACTTTCTGTCTGAGTTGGCCTCCTCTGCCCTTGCTTTGGTCGGTCATTCCCAGTAGGGTGTAAGTCTACATTCCCCCATGGGCCATTCCTGACACCCAAAGGGGTTGCTCAGTGCTACTGGGATGGGGTGGGGGGTTCAGCTCTCCACTGGTCCTTCACTGACACTGTGGCAGCAGGAGCTGTCACCACCGCGGACTCTCATTAGATGGCCTCTGACACCATCCGAGCACAGACAGGCAGGGACACCCCCTTTCTGCTGAATGGGGGTGGGACTCACTGCTCTCCAAGCAGCCTCCACTGACACAGGGAGGTGCTCATTATCACCCATAAGGATGAAATCCCAACTCTCCTCACTTGGTCTCACTGATACCACCGTGGTGGGCGTGGGGTGACTTGTCACGATGGTGGGGGGGGCCTATGCCTGTCACAAGCCTTCATTGGAGTGGGGACGGGGCCATAGCTTTCCTGGGGCTTTGGGCTGGAGGAGAGTGGTTGTACCCTGAAGTGCTCTGTTTTGTTAGGCTACCCTTCCCTGGTCTCTTGGCTAGAGTGAGCAGGATTTTTGAGGGGACTGGTTTTTTTTATTATCTGCCTGTTCCACATGGCATTGCTGGGTTTCTTGTTTCTTTAGCTCCAAGTCTCAGATGTATGAAGCCAAGAAGAAAGGCCGAGCAACCTACCAGGATGGCACTCTTAAGGTCCCCAAGTTCCTGGCCTGTCTTTTTCTTCTCACCTTTCAGAGTCTTCTGATATTTGTTTTTGTATATAATTCCCTGAAGTTTTAGTTGTCCGTACTTATTTTAATAATTTAAGAGTCATTATAAACATATTTATGGAAATGTGGTAATTGAAATGAATCTTGATGACTGAATGTCCCTGAGACTGAGGAGGCGAATGTAGTGTTCTCATCCTTGCTCATGGTCAACTTTGTTGGGTTCTGATGGACATTCCTTGGCAATGGCCATGCTGCCCTGACCCTCAGAAGAAAGAGGCAGCCCCTCAGCCAAAAACAGCCCTGTGCACACACTGTTGTGTTTAGTCTCACTCCCCAGGGTGTACCAGTAGGGTCGGAACCACAGCACTGGTACCTGGGTAGAACTGGGTCCATCAGTAGAGTAGAGCCACTGAGTCAAGTCTCTCCCAGCAATCCTATTACCAGCTGGTGCCCAGATGGCCTGGAGCAGATGCCTGAGGCAGCTCAGATGGCTCCTCATTCGGAGGAGCTTGAACCAAACAGCCCCAGGAGAGCAGAAGGAGCTCCAGGAGGGCTGGAGGTGTTGCTCAGTCTAGAGCGCTTGGTTAGCATGCACAAGGCCCTGGGTTCCATCTTCAGCACTGTCGAAGTTTGGGGGTGGGAGGAAGAAAAAAAGAAACTGCAGAGCTCACAGACAGCTCCCCAGGGTACCACGTGCCCATGACATTTTGTGACATTTTCTTCCTTTAATTTTTCAATTACTTTCAACTAACTGGTCCTTTATCCTTCTAATCTCTTTGTTCTTTGAGCGTAAATTTTTTTTTTTTTGCCCAGGGGGAAAACTGGAAATTCCCTGGCAGATAATGCTCAAGTCTCACAATTTTTGTCATCCTTATTTAGAATTTTTGTGGCGCCCATAGCTATGGTCCAAGAAATGTCCCTAAAGGATGATTGACCAAGCCCTTCCCAGAATCGGTCTTAAAACTGTCTAGATTCCCAATTTTCGTTTCAGGGATTTCCCTCTCTCTGCCCAACAGCGCCCCCCTACCCCCAAGGAAAAGAACTCTGTCCATCTAGAAGCGGAAGGAAATAATTTCTACATGGCTGGTCAAGGGCTCCAGAAAGCAATCAGCTTTGTCTGGCAGAGCTTCTGCTGCTCATCTGTGGAAATTTGGAGCCCTGGAATTCCAAGTCTTCCTGCTTCTAAAGAGCTCAGAGCCAGCAGTCCTGACACACAGCAATGACCAATGTGCCAGGCCAGCCAGTGCTTGTGGGAGTTCTCAGACTCACTCTTGCTGGGGGGCAGCTCCTTTGCACATGTGGAGGGGTGTCTTTGCGGGGAGGGGAAGTCCACCCTCAATGTTCCCTCCTGAATGGCCAGGCAAGACTACTAGACTCCAAAGAAG